CAGGCCGTCCCCGGGTGACTGGGCGGGGCGGGGCGGAGGCGGTGCGGGAGGCGGGGGTGGCGGGGGAAGGGCGCAGGGCGGGGTGCGTGTTTGCGCGAGTGACTCGGCCGACCCCTCCGGCGGCTGCCTCCACCCAAGTGGGTGGGGACCCGCCCAGCCCGGGCGGCCGCCGCGGTTCCCTCTCCCCTCCCTGACCCTCCCACCCCGGGTCCCAGCCTCTACTTACCCCGCCAACCCCGGGAGGCTCGCAGAGCGAGCGGCGCCGGCGTCATGTGACTGCCCGGAGTTGGTGCCAGGAACCAGAGGGGAGCCAGGAGCGGAGCCGCGCGGAGCCGGGGCTGAGCCGGAGCGCAGAGCGATCGCTCGCCGCACGCGCGCCGGTCCTCGTCCCTGTCCCCTGCGGCCGCCGCCCCACCGGAGCGCTGACATTACTGCGTTCGCGGGGTTCAAGGAAGCCCGGATCCGGGCCTTTATTTCTTATCTGCTGCGCTTAGCACCACGGTTCGCAAAGTAAGTCCCCTCTCGGTCACCTTTCCTCACGCCCGACTCCTGCCGCCCCCCTTTTCGACGTGTCTAGTTTAATTTTTTAATGGGGAGGACGCAGTGGATGGGTTGGGGGGGGGTGCAGCGTGGGGGTGGGGACGTTTGTGGGCTTGGGAAAGTGCAGCCGCTCTTGGCAACCAGAGTGGAGGCGGCGAGGGAGGCGAGAGGGAGGGGGTCCTGGGGTTCGGCGGTTGCAAGTGTGGGATTGGGAAGAGCCACCGTGGGGATCTGGGGGTGCGGGAAGCCAGGGTGGTGGCGCCCGCCAGGGACTTTGGCCTGGGGAGGGCGCTCACCTGTGTGGTCCCCTGGCCACCCGCCCGTCCCAGGTTCCCTCCCAAGCCCCAGAAATCAGTGTTCGCCGCGTGTGGCAACGTTGTTTGGAGAAAGGTAGCGCCGAGGCCGCGCTCTCCTGTTCCTCCCCCTCCCGGTCCCCCCAGCGTCCGCGCCCTCCCCCTCCCCGCCCTCCGCCCGCGCCCCCCGCCGCCCCCCTTCCTGGACCGGCGCGCGGCCGTTCGCCCAGCGGAGCAAACTTGGAGCAGCCTCTCGGGCCCTCTGGGAAGAAACTTGGGCAATTGGGATTGGAAGTAGCCTCCTGTTCTCTGTCCTGGAGCCCAGGCGCTGCCAGGACATCTGGGTCCTCGGGAGCAAGAGAAAGAGCTAGCCAGGTTTGGAGAGTCCTTCGGGGACACAGAGAGAACCTGCCGCAGTGCCTGGAGCAAGGATTGCAGCTTGGCTGGAGACGGAGAGCGCCTTAGGGCCACTGCCTGCAGCGTTAGGGACCCGAGCCGGGTGTGGGCCCAGGGGCTGATCCCTGGACCAGGACCCATGAGACCTACATAACATTTCAGAGTAGTTTTCTTGGAGATAGCAGACAATACTTGTAATTGTCTTCGTCATTTCTTTGGCAGTTAATAGGGAGAATACTTCTGCCTTAAATTTTACAGCAATATACAATAATTCTACATAGAGAATCAATAATTCTACATAGAGAATATGTTAATGAGACTTATTTTTAATCAGTTTAATCGGAAATTGCTCACCTTGTATTTCACTAAAATAAACATTTTACAGCCATTTTTGTACTAAATTTGTTTTTCCCCATTAATCTCACTCAAGACAGTTTAAATATTGGCTATGTTCTCACAAGGGTCTTTGGTATCTGGGGAAAAGCATGAAGTGATATTCTGACTTCATTTAGATTTAGTATCTGTAATAAGCAAAAATTAAGTGGGGAATAGGGTCATTACAGGTTTTTCTTCGAGCAATTTTGTGCTGTCCTTTTCTGAAGTGTTTGTTGTATGAGTGTGAGGAGCATTTTTACAAGAGAAGTCTATCTGGATGATAATCTGCCTGACCCTAGGGAAGACTTGCTTTTGGGGAAAAAAAATCTGATAGCATTAATATCTCCAACATTTTGTGAGTTAATAGTGTTTTTGTAGGAAGAGTTGACAAATGTCTCTTGGTTTGAGACAAGAAGTATGTTAGTTGACCTTAGGCTGTTACTAACCTGAAATGAGATGTTTGATTAATTTAAATTCTCTGGAGAAGCTATTTCTCAATTTCTACAGTCAGTGGGGTTTGCTGCAGAACTGGTAGGAAAAACCTAATGTACTCTTGGTAACCTCAGTGAAGATTAACTGTTAGGAACATTTGGCTTGCATGAAGGAGAATGCAAGTATAAAAATCACAATGTGAGATTATCAAGGAAAAGTAGTTGTTTAGACCACAAGACCTTGTCAGATATAAAACATAGCAACATAGCTTTGGAGAAAACTATTGTTTTTTCACTGCAAAGTTTCTAAATTAAAACAATCTTTTGGTTGCTGTGGGCATAGAGATGCCTTTTTTTTTTTTTAAAGCCCGTAATTATGTCCACACAGATTCCCAAATATCTGATAATAGAAAGCTGAGTTAAACAGTCCTGGCGAACAAAATAAAGAGAAATAATGGGAAAGGGGCTATGAACGGCTTATCTTAATACCCAAAAGAAAATAGACCTTTTAGAATATCTTTCGAAAGTTGATACTCTGTTCTATAAATTGTTATATCAATTTGGGATTAAATGAAATGTCAAGAATGGAATCAGATTCTCATAAGGTGAATTTCTGTAGATGTGTGTACATGTAGAACAGATGTGCAGCTGTACCCATGCATGCCTGTTACTGTGCGATTGAAAAAGACAGTGAAAATTTGGAGTGCCTCTAGATGTCCCACAGTCTGTGTCTTGGAATTTAGAATTGGTCTAGTTTTCAGTTATGTGGGGCAACCCAATTGTAATCTGAATTCTTAACAGCCATACTCTTTATTTTTCCTATGATGCTCTGAGCTGAATGAAAATCACCCTAACTCAGAATTTGATCAGAGCTCGAGACCAGCCATGGGGATGTGAGAGAAAGGGACAAAGAAATCTCGAGAGGGAGGCCAATGCTAATTATTAAGGTCTCTGCTGCTTGAATATGATAAAATCACATGTTCACTTATGATGTTTACTGTATGTGGCAGCTCCTATTTGTAAATAGGGTAGGTCCTCCTGTATAAAGCTGGTGTTATTATTCACATCCATAGAACAAGCACCTTCACCCCCCTGTTGTTGTATTAAAAAACTCCAGCTGCTCATGAATATAGGGTCAGGGAGGGCCAGCTAAATGTTTCTCTGTGCTTTCTCTCCAGCACAGCCAGCAGAGCTGTTTCCTGTTCTTTGTTTCAAGGCTGGGGTTTGCGTCATACATTCCAAGTGGCATATGTGTGCTCTTTCCTGTTTCAGTCTGTTTTCTGGTAGATCAGTAGCCTAGACCAAGCCATGGTCCCTGCCCCTAAACTCCCTATCCCCACCCAGGGAGTTATCATGTCTGCACACACTCACCATTGCTTAAGATGCTCATGTTATGTCATAATGAGAAGTCAGTTAACCTTTTTATATACACCCTTTGCTCCAGTGCATGTATGTGGGGGAATAAAAACTTTTACCTTTTTTTTTTTTTTTTTTTAAATTTTCATGGCCAAATTGTGATTTAAAAAAAATTGTGTGCATATTGACAAAGAAATTTAGAAGAGTTTTTTTTTTTTTTTTTTTTTAAAATATTTTTTATTCTGGTTTTAAAGTGGGGGGTGGTGGTGTTAGGTGCCATTGAGTCGGTTCCGACTCATAGCAACCCTATGTATAACAGAACGAAACACTGTCCGGTCCTGCACCATCCTCACAATCGTTGCTATGTGTGCACCCATCCTTGCAGTCTCTGTGTCAGTCCATCTCATTGAGGGTCGTTCCTTTTTACTGACCCTCTGCTTTACCAAGCATGATGTCCTTCTCCAGGGACTGGTCCCTCCTGATAACATGTCCAAAGTACATGAAACATACTTTGTGGGTAGGGTGTTTGTTTTGAGATAGGCATTTTGCCCTGAAGCTGTCAATTTTGGACTGGGATTAACACCTTACAGGGTAGGAGACCTAGCATTATCTGAATGATGTGGCCCACCCTGTGTTCACATGTAAGGCAGGACGCTCAAGGCGTAGGAGGCTGCTTTGCATGGAGAATTTAAACAGCTTTAGTAGTCTGGACTGACTTGCATGTCTTGGAGAATTCTTTAGAAAAATTATTGAAGCAAAAGATTAGATATATTAAGAAAATCCCAGGATCATTTCTTTTTAAGGACAAAGATTTAAATACTAGGATAATTTTTTTAAGGACAAAGATTTTATTGTGTTCTGGATCTGATTCCCATGCTGTTTTGAGAATAAAAAAAGCTTAAAAGAAAAGGAGAACTGGAAATTAAAAATCTATTTAATTATAATTTGGAAAATTTTAATCTTATATTTTGAAAATAGGAGAATTCTCTATTTTTTACAAGGACAACTTTTTCATAATTCCATTTTTTTTGTATATTCTGTCAGTTGTGGGTTTATGAATTTATGGGTTAACTATTTAAAACCTCCCTTAACAAATTATTTTCTTCTTGATTCTTCAGAAACTAAGTTTTAAAGAAATAGTTGGTTAGAAAAGAAAATTTAGAGCAAGTTTATTTTTTAAACTTCCTATTTTTGGATTTTCTTTAAAATGTAAGTGAATTATCTACAATGCTTTCTAATGGAATTAATTCAAAAAGTTGCTGAAGCAGCAAAGCAGACCCTATACTCCCAAAAAGGTACTTTGGTGTCCTACCACAATCCTTTATGGATAAAAGGGAAGTATGAAATAAATTAAGAAAGATACTGGAATTAAATAATAGGCTACCTGTTACTTTCCTTGGAAAATGATGGGAGTTTTGGAAGGTCTTAATAAGAGACTCTTTTGGGGAAAGTCAACTTTAATATTAGGCTAACCTGCAAGACAAGAGGCCCTTAAACTAAAATTCATAAGTACTAACCCAAATTGAAGCAGGTTTTTTGTTTTAGTTCCAAAGTTGAAACAATCCAACTGGACAGAGTGTTTATTCGGCTTTCCCCTAATCATTCTTTCTTCCTCTTTTTTTTTCTTTTGGTGGGGGGAGGGAGGTGGTTAATAGAGATGATTAGAGTCTAATATTTTCTATGAGAAAAAAAGTTTTGGAAGCTTTTAAATGCTAAGCTAAACAACGGGGAGGAAATTATGCTAGTCTGATAGTTATAATACAAAAAAAAAAAAAGGGGGAGTAGAAATTTTATCTCTTGACTTTGTAAATTAATCATTATTCCTAACACTTGGTTCCATGTTACCTCTATCCTCCCTTTAGATAATGCTTTGCTGCTTAATATTTCCAAGTCAACACTTCTGCTCTAAAATGCAGAGATAGTTTGCTTAGGTGGTATTTCTTGCTCTCCATTTTCAGACTCACTTATGTTTAAGAGAAATAAATAAAGACAAGCAAGCCCATCCTTTACATACTAGGAATTACATTATTCTGGAATTTGGGTTTCTTCCTGAAATGTTTCATTTATCATCGGCTCTAGCTTTTTTTTTTTTTTTTTTTAAATTGCTATCTGGTTTACT